TTTGGAGTCACAATAGAGTGTAAAATAGATAGATGCTTTCAAAAATAGAGATTATTTTTAGCCAGTGTTAATATCAAGCGGTAAAAGGACCATTTCCTTCATAATATGTCCAAAAGTATTTACTTCAAAAGTAGATAAAGTTCATACTTGTCAAATTCACTTGTTTCAAACATAGGTGAATGTTGACAATGCAAAAAGTTAATGAGATAGATTAATGAGATCGATTAGAACCAACAAAGATTCAAAAACATTTGAAAGCATTTTAATGTATTTGGGTAGAGCACAAAAGTAGATATTTAGGTATTTTTGAGAATTTTAAGAGCTGTCGATTTGTCAGCAACAGATTAGAGAATCAAAATACCGTTGTATAGGGACTGACCCCAGAGAAACCTGCTAAAATAGATTAGCTCTTGTAAGGATAATACCAATTTGATTAACGATGTACATTTATCCCAAACGGTCTGAGAGGAGGAAGTGACAGCACTTCCTGGTTCAACAAAATGTATTTGGAAAAATGAGCAAAGCCCCACGAAATGGCCCAAAGCCACTGATAATGAAAGCAAACCACAGTATAGATAGATTTATTAGATAAAAACATATGTTTAAGAATAGGGCTCAATAAAAGCAAAATATGCAAACATATTTGTAAATAGATTAGAATAGTTTAAACTATAGTGAATAGTTTTAGTGCATACATTACAGACGAGGTTGATGAAGACTCAGAATGACACAGCAGTAGTCATCAAATAGTATTGAAGGAATGGTTAGAATGTGGTTTGTTGTGTGTGTATTCTTTCTGTATTAATTCTTCACAGATAACGAGCCTGAACCAAGAACCAAGGCGATGATGGAAGAGCTCCCCAGTCCCGTCACCCAGAAGGGTTATTGAAAGATTGTGACCTAATTGATTAATATAGGTCAAGAGAGGGATTGTTGTAGAATTAAAATGTTGTATACTAATGATTTTCAGTAGGTGTTTGCATACCATGTCTTTGTGCAATATTAAGCCTGGATCTCGTGGAATTCAGAGAAGGACCAGACCTCCCCCAGCCAGATAAGAGTTGTTTGGAGAAGGGCTTCTTCCTTATAAGGAAGAAGCTATAGGTTGGAATGTGTGAATCCCCTTTTCCGCAGCCCCCAGGGACGAGAAGAGCAGATGGTGGAAGGCGGACCCTGAACCGGAAGCTGCCTGATAGGACACGCCCCTCCTTCCTGTTCCTTTTATATGCTCTGGCTGGGGGCGGGAACTGGAGAGACAGGACAGGGGCAACGCACAGGGAGAGAGCAGGCATAGAATAGGAGCACTTTTTTGTTGAATATTCTGTATCTGATTGTAAAGATAATTAAATGCAGATGTTAAACTTGGAGAATCTTTAGTCTGATTTCTGTACCAAATTGTGGACACGTCAGCCAAAGGGAATTATTGGCTACAACGTCAGCAGCCTACGTCATCAGTCTACGTCATCAGCCTACGTCATCAGCCTACGTCATCAGCCTACGTCATCAGCCTACGTCAGCAGCCTACGTCATCGGCCTACGTCAGCAGCCTACGTCATCAGCCTACGTCAGCAGCCTACGTCATCAGCCTACGTCAGCAGCCTACGTCAGCAGCCTACGTCATCAGCCTACGTCAGCAGCCTACGTCAGCAGCCTACGTCATCAGCCTACGTCATCAGCCTACGTCAGCAGCCTACGTCATCAGCCTACGTCATCAGCCTACGTCATCAGCCTACGTCAGCAGCCTACGTCATCAGCCTACGTCATCAGCCTACGTCATCAGCCTACGTCAGCAGCCGCGGACTGCTATGAAAACATTAGCTTTGTGGTTTCACAGGCGCAGTTGACTGCTTAAACTAAACTTTGCACGAAACTTTGACTCTTAAAACCCACATGTGACAAAACGGAACCGTCAACATCTCGCCTCAAATTGCATTAAAAGTGACATTTGTGTCTTAATTTGATCATATTTTAACTTTTAAAGAAATTCACGTTCCGCCATCTTGGTATGCTTTGGCTGCCGTGAGACGCGCATGCGCAGGTTTGCATTACATCATAAACAGCTGAGGCAGTGCATCTCGGCGTTATACCGGCTCCAAAAGGTCCATGAGCACGTGCGTTGTCATGCCGCGATCTCACTCCTTGCCTGTGGGGGTGTACCCGGAAAGAGAATGACCCAGGTCCCAAAGTCGCTCTTGGCTCAAAGCTACGCTCCAGACGCTGTCAATGCATTTTTCGTATTGTATTTTTGTTTGTATTTAAATGTATAATGTTGAGTAATATTTTCTGTCTGTAGTTTAAAGGTATTTTGGAGGATTATTCGAAGTGTTTGGAAAGACCGTTGAAGTGTGTGGTCTGTACCTGTCATGTTGAATGTAATCTGTGTGTTGTGTTTATGTGTAACTTTGCTCTCTCTTGTCCTGGACTCCCTTGAAAAGTCGTTCTTAATCTCAACGGGATTTTTCTCTCGACTTCTTGAACAAAACTCTCTGGTCTTATTGGGCGAGCACGAATGGATAGATAGAAAGATTGATAGATAGATAGATATTGATCCCTGCAGGAGAAAGTCAGGTGTTCAGTTGCAGCAAAAGCTGATCATTCTAAAAAGCTAACAACAGTAATATTAATAACAGCCCTTCAGGTCACAGCAGCAGAGGTGGAGTAGCCTCTGGGTGGAGCAGGACGGGTCAAAAGGTGGAGCAGCCGCTTGGTTCGGACCATGAATCCTCTCTGCGCTGGTCTGGACCAGTGTAAAACCATGAATCCTCTCTGCGCTGGTCTGGACCAGTGTAAAACCATGAATCCTCTCTGCGCTGGTCTGGACCAGTGTAAAACCATGAATCCTCTCTGCGCTGGTCTGGACCAGTGTAAAACCATGAATCCTCACTGCTCTGGTCTGGACCAGTGTAAAACCATGAATCCTCTCTGCGCTGGTCTGGACCAGTGTAAAACCATGAACACTGAACTGCAGAAACCAGTTGTTTCAGGTGCATTTGTGTTTTGGTGAATTACTGAAGTGTGGCCTGTGCAGGAATACAAACTGTTCTCTTTATTATTTTCATCTTTTGTTTTTGTTGATGTTTCTGTATTTGACCCGTGTGACCCTGACCCCGTGGGAGATGGAGATTATACTTTGGCTGTAATCTGGCACGTTTACATTCATGTTTTTAATGTGTCCTTTCACCGACCTGCACTGTCCCATTCAAATAAATACATAAATGGCGCCATGGCAACAGCTCTGGTGTGTGTCGTCTGATGCACACTGGGGTAGTCTTGCACAGTTTTTCCAATGTGGTTTTACTGCAAATGGCAAATAAATTAATCTGAATCGGAATCTAAATAAAAAACACTTAGGACTCACTGGCGTTTTCCAGCGCATTCAAAAGATTGACACCAGAATGATTGACAGTTGGGAGGACCAATAGTCTTGATGATCCACCCAGAAGTAAAAAATCCTCTTAGTTACCATTAAGAACAAAATCCAACACCGTGGACCAAACTTTGAGACAACCCAGTTTTTTTCTTTCCCTCCGTTAGCATTTAGCCGCTAATGCGTCTGTTCTTAACACTTCTGTCAGCTCCTAATTAAACATTTTACACTTTGCTTCCAGGCGCGAGCTCCATGTAAATGCCAGACAGGAAGTTCATCCCCGCCACACCAAACCCGACTTGACCCTGAATGTCTAAATCTTTATTATTTCATTATTTCTGCGTTTTGCCGGTGTCCAAACCGCGGCACGTCCGATCCCAACGCAGAGGAAGGCGGTTAATTGGAGCGGTGTGGTTGGCCCTGTCAGCCGCAGCCTTTTCATGCCTCTCTCCGGGGACTCGCAGCAGTAATGAGCCACTGTACCTGGGTCACTCGTGGGCAATTAGAGCAAAATAATGACTCCTTCCTCCAGCTTTTGCCACGTTCCGGTCGCTCTTCAAGAGACGGGGTCCCGCGAGAGGAGGGCCGGACCCACACGAGTCTGAACGGACTGAATTTGGAATGAGGAAACGGGTTTGTTTTGATGGTTTTAGGGTTTTTCTAGTGTCTTCTTGGGTCTTCTGTATCAGACACTTGGGAGATAGATGTTATTACAGTGACGTGTTTCAAGGGTGACCTGAGAGAGACCAGAGAGGGACCAGAGAGAGGCAAGAGAGAGACCCCTGTGAGAGACCAGAGCGAGACCCCTGAGAGAAACCAGAGAGAGACCAGAGAGGGACCAGAGGGAGACTAGAGAGAGACCCCTGAGAGAGACCAGAGAGAGACCAGAGAGAGACCAGAGAGGGACCAGAGGGAGACCAGAGAGGGACCAGAGAGAGACCAGAGAGAGACCAGAGAGGGATCGGAGAGAGACCAGAGAGGGACCAGAGAGAGGCAAGAGAGAGACCCCTGAGAGAGACCAGAGAGAGACCAGAGAGGGACCAGAGAGAGACTAGAGAGAGACCCCTGAGAGAGACCAGAGAGAAACCAGAGAGGGACCAGAGAGAGACTAGAGAGAGACCCCTGAGAGAGACCAGAGAGAGACCAGAGAGGGACCAGGGAGAGACTAGAGAGAGACCCCTGAGAGAGACCAGAGAGAGACCAGAGAGGGACCAGAGAGAGACTAGAGAGAGACCCCTGAGAGAGACCAGAGAGAGAGACCAGAGAGAGACCAGAGAGAGACCAGAGAGGGACCAGAGAAAGACCAGAGAGAGACCAGAGAGAGACCAGAGAGAGACTAGAGAAAGACTAGAGAAAGATCAGAGAGAGACCAGAGAGAGACTAGAGAGAGACCAGAGAGACTAGAGGTAGACCAGGTCTGAATGGACAGAATTTGAACTCAGGATACAGGTTGTTTTGATCCAGGACTGAGGCTGTAGAACTAATCTTTTTTTTCTCCTCATTACTCTTCTGAAGTGATATTTTCCTTCTCTAAGGACATAACCTTCTGTGTTCTATCAAAATACTTCACATTCAACAATTCATTTATTTTTATTTTTCAATCGACAACAACGACAAACACTTTCACGAAACCATGAAAACCACTTCTCTTTGCTCGGACCCTGCTTTAGTTCAGACAACACCGTTTCCGTGGTTTCTCTTTCCCGGAGCAGACGGCGAGACGGCGATTAGCAGCATTTTGGGATCCTCGCAATTAAGCCCAGGGTCAGTCCAGGTCTGAGTCTGGGTCTGAGTCAGGACCACAACGAGGCTCTGGTCATTCCCACTTTCTAACGATGACATTTGGGTAAAATATGTGCGAGTGCGGGTGCTCTCTCGTTGCCCTTTTTCGCTGATTAGAAGAAGTTTTGTCCAAAGTCACTGAAACTCCACTGGATTACACCATGGATCTATAATAATAACTGGATAGTGTATTACGAGCTTACAGTTGTCCCACCCACGGCCACAGGGGGCGCTGTGGTACTGCAGACTAAATTCACGCGGGCTACCCAGAAAAAAATGTCCCATAGAACTCAATGTAAATTAAAACAGCTCAACCTCAGCTAACAGAGAACCTGACAGAGAACTTGACAGAGAACCTGACAGAGAACCTGACAGAGAACCGGACTGAGAACCTGACAGAGAACCTGACAGAGAACCTGACAGAGAACCTGACAGAGAACCGGACAGAGAACCGGACTGAGAACCGGACTGAGAACCTGACAGAGAACCTGACAGAGAACCGGACTGAGAACCTGACAGAGAACCGGACTGAGAACCTGACAGAGAACCGGACTGAGAACCTGACAGAGAACCTGACAGAGAACCGGACAGAGAACCGGACTGAGAACCTGACAGAGAACCTGACAGAGAACCTGACAGAGAACCTGACAGAGAACCGGACTGAGAACTTGACAGAGAACCTGACAGAGAACCGGACTGAGAACCTGACAGAGAACCTGACAGAGAACAGGACTGAGAACCTGACAGAGAACCTGACAGAGAACCGGACAGAGAACCTTGCAGAGAACCAGCTTTCATAAAGGTCGGATTTCGTGTAAGCATGAATTTTTGGTATCTGTCTGGTCCCTATAGTCTTTCTGGTCTCTGTGGTCTCACCGGTCTCTCTATGGTCTCCCTTCTCTCTCTCTTTCTGGTCTATCATTGGTCTCTCTCAGGTCTCTCTTCCCTCCCTCTGATCTCTCTCTCTCTCTCTCTGGTTTTTCTCAGGCATCTCTTCTTCTAGTCTCTCTTCTCTCCATCTCTTTGGTCTCTCTCAGGTTACTCAGGTCACACTCTTCTCTCCCTCTGGTCTCTCTTCTCTCTCTCAGGTCTCACTCAGTTTGCTCATAGTCCAGATAGACCGTTCTTTCTCTCTCTGGTCACTCTCTTCTCTACCTCTTGTGTTCCTCTTCACTCTCTCTGGTCCCTCTCACTCTCTCTCTCTCTGGTCTCTCTCTCTCTGGTTTCTCTCTGGCCTCTCGCTCATCTCTCTCTCTCTCTGCTCTCTCTCTCTCTGGTTTCTCTCTCTGGTCTATCTTTGGTCTCTCTCTGGTCTCTCTCTGGTCTCTCCCTGGTCTCTCTCTGGTTTCTCTCTGGTCTCTCTCTGGTCTCTCTCTGGTCTATCTTTGGTCTCTCTCTGGTCTCCCTCTGGTCTCTCTCTGGTCTCTCTCTGGTCTCTCTCTCTCTGGTTTCTCTCTGGCCTCTCGCTCATCTCTCTCTCTCTCTGCTCTCTCTTTCTCTGGTTTCTCTCTCTGCTCTCTCTCTGGTCTATCTTTGGTCTCTCTCTGGTCTCTCTCTGGTCTCCCTCTGGTCTCTCTCTAGTCTCTCTCTAGTCTCTCTCTGGTCTCTCTCTGGTCTCTCTCTGGTCTCTCTCTGGTCTCTCTCTCTGGTCTCTCTCTGGTCTCTCTCTCTGGTCTCTCTCTGGTCTCTCTCTGGTCTATCTCTGGTCTCTCTCTGGTGTCTCTCTGGTCTCTCTCTGGTCTCTCTCTGGTCTCTCTCTGGTCTCTCTCTGGTCTCTCTCAGATCTCTCTCTGGTCTCTCTCTGGTCTCTCTCTGGTCTCTCTCTGGTCTCTCTCTCTGGTCTCTCTCTGGTCTCTCTCTGGTCTCTCTTTCTGGTCTCTCTCTGGTCTCTCTCTGGTCTCTCTCTCTGGTCTCTCTCTGGTCTCTCTCTGTTCTACCCCACCTCAGAGAGAGAGAACCAGCTGCTAGCATCACAGAGAGCAGAGATAGGCTCCCAGATCCGCACATGTAGCCGCTTTATTATACATGAATAATTCCCCGTCTCTCTCGGGATGCGGCGAGATGTTTATGCAGATGATTTTTTGCCGTCGATCCCCGCTTGCGAGCGCTTTTCCACGTCTCTGACAAAGATTGATGCAGCGGCTTCTCGCTGCGAAGCTATCTCTCAAATCTGATGCGATTTACAACAAGAATCACAGACTCACCAAAACACAACTGCTCTGATCTGTGCCGCCAGGAGCCAAGTCTGAGGTTCTACGGTCTCTCTCTGGTCTCTCTCTGGTCTCTCTCTCTCGCTGGTCCCTTACTTGTCTCTGTCTAGTCCCTCTCTCTCCCTCTCTGGTGTCTCTCTCTCTTGTCTTTTTCTAGACTCTCTTTGGTCTATCTCAAGTCTCTCTGGTCATTTTCTATAGTCCCTCCCTCTGGTCTGTCTCTCTCTGGTCTCTCTCTCTCTAGTCTCTAACTCTAGTCCCTCACTCTCTGGTCTCTCTCTAGTCTTTCTCTCTGGTCTTTCACTAGTCTCTCCCTAGTTTCTCTCTCCAGTCTCTCTCTCTCTGGTCTCTCTCTAGTCTCTCCCTAGTTTCTCTCTCCAGTCTCTCTCTCTCTGGTCTCTCTCCAGTCTCACTCTTTCTGGTAAAGTATCTCTCTAGTCTCCCTCTCTTGTCTCCCTATAGTCTCTCTTTAGTCTCTTTCTGTCTGAGCTCTCTCTAGTCCCTCTCTAGTCTCTCTCTAGTCTCTCTCTCTGGTCTCTCTCTAGTCTCTCTCTGGTCTCTCTCTGGTCTCTCTCTAGTCCCTCTTTAGTCTCTCTCTGTCTGAGCTCTCTCTAGTCCCTCTCTAGTCTCCGTCTAGTCTCTCTCTCTGGTCTCTCTCTAGTCTCTCTCTGGTCTCTCTCTGGTCTCTTTCTAGTCCCTCTTTAGTCTCTCTCTGTCTGAGCTCTCTCTAGTCCCTCTCTAGTCCCTCTCTAGTCTCTCTCTAGTCTCTCTCTAGTCCCTCTTTTGTCTCTCTCTTTGCTCTCTCTCTTCCTGACCCTCTCCCTCTGAACCCAGTGAGATGCTTCCTCAGATCTGGTCCAGTCACGGCCGAACAACAAAGGCACATTTCTGATTGTGAATCCATTTCTCTGGCTCTTTACTCTCTTCACAATGACTCCCCGGTAATTAACGCCGGGCCTGGTTATCGCTCTCTCGCCGGGCTCTTACCTGAATCTCAATTATTGATCACCTTTTCAGACCAGAAAATCCTCAGAATGGGAATAAACGAGCGATTACGGAGCGAGGCCGTGCACTAATGTGGAAATAGATTGGACGATTATGGAGAAAGAGCCGATAACTTTTGGTTTGTGTGGATGCAGTGAAGCTCTGTCTCTTCTCAGTGACACCATCAGCACGAGATTTTAATGCAGTAAAAGTGCAGGTTATGATCATGTGACATCACCACCTTCCAAAGAGCCTCGAGTTTCACGTTGTGCAGGACAGAAGTGGAAACATCTGTCCTGGGAACCATGGCAACGGCCCAAAGACAGACTCAGGTCTTAGTTTAGTGTCACAAAGTTCCATGTTTTATTTGTCATCATCTCTCTCTCTACTCTCTCTTTGGTCTCCTTCTGGTCTCTACTAACTCTGGAATTTCTTTCTTTCTTATCTCTCTCTGGTCCTTGTCTCTCTGGTCTCTCTGGTCTCCCTCTCTCCCTAGTCTCTTTCTGGTCCCTCCTCTCTCTTGTCTCTCTCGCTTCTCTCTTATCTCTCTTTGGTCTTTCTCTCTAATATCTCTGGTCTCTCTGATCTCACTCTTATCTCCCTCTCTCTCCAATCTACCTCTCTCTGGTCTTTTGCTCTGGTCTCTCTCTTGTCTCTCTCTAGTCTCTCTCTGGTCTCTCTCTCTAGTTTCTCTCTCTGGTCTCTCTCTCTCTCTCTCTCTCTCTCTCCAGTCTCTCTCTCTCTCTCTCTCTGGTCTCTCTCTCTGAAGGCTAAAGCAAAGCCACTCACACTTTTATACCTCCGATAAAACCCACGGTGAGGACTCGAGCCTCCATCCTCCGTGTCCATTACGGACCAGGGACACGGATCGATCCCACACAAAGCTCTCTCTCCTGGGCATAACCGGCGGGGAGTCTGGCCTGTCCGCATCCACAAAGACACAATCAGAGCCACCACTGTACCACACGGCGGCGGAGCGAATATTGCCGCCAGTAATTGAAGTAATTAGTGCAGCGTCTGATAGGGCTTTCTCCGAGGACAGCAGGTGGAATGAACAAAAAACACCAGCCCAAAAAGAAAGAGAAGCTATCGGTTCATTCTGGATTCTTATCGTCTGCCTCTGGTGAAATCAGACAAAGCGCAACCAATCAAGCAAACAGGCTCAAATTAAAAGCAGATTAGACCCAATTCTATCAAAAGTTTTTTAAGCTTCACAAAAGATCCAACTTCGACGGTCTCCAAAACTCATTCTGCACTTCCTTCACATCAACTTTCAGATCGCGATAAAAGTGGTGTTCGATGCAGCCGCGGCGCCAGGGGTAGGCCAGGGTCTCTGGTCTCTCTCTGGTCTCTCTGCTCTCTCTCTGGTCTCTCTCTGGTCTCTCTCTCTGGTCCCTCTCTGCTCTCTCTCTGGTCTCCCTCTGGTCTTTCTCCTCTGGTCTCTCTCTGGGCTCTCTTTGGTCTCTCTCTGGTCTCTCTCTGGTCTCCATCACTCTGTGACAGAGTGATGGAGTGTTAAGCTTCACAAAAGATCCAACTTTGACAGTCTACTTTTCTTTGTTCTTTCTTTCTCACTTCTCTCTGATCTCGCTCCTGTCTCTTTTTTGTCTCTCTCTAGTCTTTCACTCTGGTCTCTCTCGTCCCTCTGTCTAGTCTCTCGCTGGTCCCTCTCTCTTATCTCTTTCTGGTCTCTCTTTGGTATCTCTCTGGGTCTACCTGGTCTCTTTCTTATCTCTTTCTGGTCTCTCTTTTTGGTCTTTCTCTCTGGTCTCTCTCTGGTCTCTCTCTGGTCCTTCACTCTTGTCTCTCTCTGGTCTCTTTCTGGTCTCTCTCTGCTCTCTCTCTGGTCTCTCTCAGGTCTCTCTCTGGTCTCTCTGTTTTGTCTCTCTCTCTGGTTTCTCTCTAGTCTTTCACTCTGGTCTCTCTTGTCTATCTCTGGTCTCTCTCAGGTCTCTCTCTGGTCCTTCACTCTGGTTTCTCTGGTCTCTCTCTGGTCTCTCACTGGTCTCTCTCTCTGGTCTCTCTCTAGTTTCTCTCTAGTCATTCACTCTGGTCTCTCTCTGGTCTCTCTCAGGTCTCTCTCTGGTCCTTCACTCTGGTCTCTCTCTGTTCTCTCTCTGCTCTCTCTCTGACCTCTCTCTGGTCTCTCTCTGTTCTCTCTCTCTGCTCTCTCTCTGCTCTCTCACTGGTCTCTCTCGGGTCTCTCTCTGCTCTCTCTCTGCTCTCTCACTGGTCTCTCTCTTGTCTCTCTCTGGTCTCTCTTTTGTCTGACCAAGGCCTATTTCCTACCTCACTCTGCTTTGAATTTATTTCATATCAAATCTCAAAACTTTCCTTTAGAGTCCTGGTCTGTGGCTCTTTACTGCCCCTAGAGGATCACATACGTCCTACAGTCTCTGCACAACTAACTGTACTTTATTGCATTTCTAAACACAGAGTCAAACAGAGATGTGTAACCAGATTAGCTTCTATAAAATGATCTTATCGTGAGTGTGTTCTGTGATGTCACTGCTTATCAACAGATTAGAACGATACCAAAGGTTGTTATGTTCACTCAGGCCAATGTCCGCAAACATCTGGGACATTTCGGCACATTTATGACCAGGTGTCAACGTCAAAATCACTCTCTAGTCCCTCTCTCTGGTCTCTCTCCCTGGTCTCTCTCTCTGGTCTCTCTCCCTGGTCTCTCTCTCTGGCCTCTCTCAGGTCTCTCTCCCTGGTCTCTGTCTCTGGTCCCTCTCTCTAGCTGGTCTCTCTCCCTGGTCTCTCTCTCTGGTCTCTCTCCCTGGTCTCTCTAGCCGGTCACTCTCTCTGGTCTCTCTCCCTGGTCTCTCTCTGGTCTCTCTCTGGTCTCTCTCAGGTCTCTCTCCCTGGTCTCTCTCCCTGGTCTCTCTCTGGTCTCTCTCTGGTCCCTCTCCCTGGTCTCTCTCTCTGGTCTCTCTCCCTGGTCTCTCTCTCTGGTCTCTCTCCCTGGTCTCTCTCTCTGGCCTCTCTCAGGTCTCTCTCCCTGGTCTCTCTCTGGCCTCTCTCTGGTCTCTCTCCCTGGTCTCTGTCTCTGGTCCCTCTCTCTAGCTGGTCTCTCTCCCTGGTCTCTCTCTCTGGTCTCTCTCCCTGGTCTCTCTCCCTGGTCTCTCTCTGGTCTCTCTCTGGTCCCTCTCCCTGGTCTCTCTCTATGGTCTCTCTCAGGTCTCTCTCCCTGGTCTCTCTCTCTGGCCTCTCTCAGGTCTCTCTCCCTGGTCTCTCTCTGGCCTCTCTCTGGTCTCTCTCCCTGGTCTCTGTCTCTGGTCCCTCTCTCTAGCTGGTCTCTCTCCCTGGTCTCTCTCTCTGGTCTCTCTCCCTGGTCTCTCTAGCCGGTCACTCTCTCTGGTCTCTCTCCCTGGTCTCTCTCTGGTCTCTCTCTGGTCTCTCTCAGGTCTCTCTCCCTGGTCTCTCTCCCTGGTCTCTCTCTGGTCTCTCTCTGGTCCCTCTCCCTGGTCTCTCTCTCTGGTCTCTCTCCCTGGTCTCTCTCTCTGGTCTCTCTCCCTGGTCTCTCTCTCTGGCCTCTCTCAGGTCTCTCTCCCTGGTCTCTCTCTGGCCTCTCTCTGGTCTCTCTCCCTGGTCTCTGTCTCTGGTCCCTCTCTCTAGCTGGTCTCTCTCCCTGGTCTCTCTCTCTGGTCTCTCTCCCTGGTCTCTCTAGCTGGTCTCTCTCCCTGGTCTCTCTCTCTGGTCTCTCTCCCTGGTCTCTCTCCCTGGTCTCTCTCTGGTCTCTCTCTGGTCCCTCTCCCTGGTCTCTCTCTATGGTCTCTCTCAGGTCTCTCTCCCTGGTCTCTCCCTGGTCTCTCTCTGGTCTCTCTCTCTCTGGTCTCTCTCTGGTCTCTCTCTGGTCTCTCTCTGGTCTCTCTCTGGTCTCTCTCTGGTCTCTCTCTGGTCTATCTCTCTGGTCTCTCTCTGGTCCCTCTCTCTGGTCTCTCTCTGGTCTCTCTCTGGTCTCTCTCCCTGGTCTCTCTCCCTGGTCTCTCTCTGGTCTCCTACCTAGTCCCTCTGGTCTTCCTCTGGTCCCTCACTTGTCTCTCTCTGGTCTCTCTCTCTGGTCTCTCTCTGGTCTCTCTCTGGTCTCTCTCCCTGGTCTCTCCCTGGTCTCTCTCTCTGGTCTCTCTCCCTGGTCTCTCTCTCTGGCCTCTCTCAGGTCTCTCTCCCTGGTCTCTCTCTGGTCTTTCTCACTGGTCTCTGTCTCTGGTCCCTCTCTCTGGTCTCTCCCTGGTCTCTCCCTGGTCTCTCTCTCTGGTCTCTCTCCCTGGTCTCTCTCTCTGGCCTCTCTCAGGTCTCTCTCCCTGGTCTCTCTCTGGCCTCTCTCTGGTCTCTCTCCCTGGTCTCTCTCTCTGGTCTCTCTCCCTGGTCTCTCTAGCTGGTCTCTCTCCCTGGTCTCTCTCTCTGGTCTCTCTCCCTGGTCTCTCTCCCTGGTCTCTCTCTGGTCTCTCTCTGGTCCCTCTCTCTGGTCTCTCTCTGGTCTCTCTCTGGTCTCTCTCCCTGGTCTCTCTCTGGTCTCCTACCTAGTCCCTCTGGTCTTCCTCTGGTCCCTCACTTGTCTCTCTCTGGTCTCTCTCTGGTCTCTCTCTCTGGTCTCTCTCTGGTCCCTCTCTCTGGTCGCTCTCTGGTCTCTCTCTGGTCTCTCTCCCTGGTCTCTCTCTGGTCTCCTACCTAGTCCCTCTGGTCTTCCTCTGGTCCCTCACTTGTCTCTCTCTGGTCTCTCTCTGGTCTCTCTCTCTGGTCTCTCTCTGGTCCCTCTCTCTGGTCTCTCTCTGGTCTCTCTCCCTGGTCTCTCTCTGGTCTCCTACCTAGTCCCTCTGGTCTTCCTCTGGTCCCTCACTTGTCTCTCTCTGGTCTCTCTCTGGTCTCTCTCTCTGGTCTCTCTCTGGTCCCTCTATCTGGTCTCTCTCTGGTCTCTCTCTGGTCTCTCTCCCTGGTCTCTCTCTGGTCTCCTACCTAGTCCCTCTGGTCCCTCACTTGTCTCTCTATGGTCTCTCTCTATCTATCCACTGCTATAGCTTCTTTAGACTGTCATATTAGAGGAACCTCTTCAGCCTCCTCTTCCTCCTCCCTCTCCTCCTCCCTCTCTGCGTCCTCCTCCCTCTCTGCGTCCTCCTCCCTCTCTGCGTCCTCCTCCCTCTCTGCATTCTCCTCCCTCTCTGCATTCTCCTCCCTCTCTGCGTCCTCCTCCCTCTCTGCGTCCTCCTCCCTCTCTGCATTCTCCTCCCTCTCTGCGTCCTCCTCCCTCTCTGCGTCCTCCTCCCTCTCTGCGTCCTCCTCCCTCTCTGCATTCTCCTCCCTCTCTGCGTCCTCCTCCCTCTCTGCGTCCTCCTCCCTCTCTGCGTCCTCCTCCCTCTCTGCATTCTCCTCCCTCTCTGCATTCTCCTCCCTCTCTGCATTCTCCTCCCTCTCTGCGTCCTCCTCCCTCTCTGCGTCCTCCTCCCTCTCTGCGTCCTCCTCCCTCTCTGCGTCCTCCTCCCTCTCTGCATTCTCCTCCCTTCTCCACCTCCTCCTCCTCCTCCTCTTGAGTGAGTGAGTTTGGAGAGGATCCAGAAGCACCTCCATTATCTGAGAACAACAGGTCGCTTCATATCTGCTCCTGTGAGAAAGGTCAGCAGTCATTTTACCAGAGTTAAGATGTTTTCTCCACAGACACAGACACACACAGACACACACACACACACACACAGACACACACACACACAGACACACAGACACACACACACACAGACACAGACACACGCACACACAGACACACACACACACAGACACACACAGACACACACAGACACAGACACACAGACACACACACACAGACACACACACAGACACACACACACACAGACACACACAGACATACACACACACAGAAACACACACACACAGACAAACACACATACACACAGAGAGAGACACACACACACACAGACACACAGAAATACACAGAGATCTGAGAGAGACCAGAGGGAGCAGTCTCCGGTCTCGCTTTCTCTCCTCCCTCTCTGCTCTCTCTCTCTAGTCTCTCTTTCTGGTCTCTCTCTGGTCTCTCTCTGGTCTCTCTCTCTGGTCTCTCTCTGGTCTCTCCCTGGTCTCTCTCTGGTCTCTCTCTGGTCTCTCTCTGGTCTCTCTCTGCTCTCTCTCTCTAGTCTCTCTCTCTGCTCTCTCTCTGGTCTCTCTCTGCTCCCTCTCTCTCTCTGCTCTCTCTCTCTCTGCTCTCTCTCTCTGGTCTCTCTCTGCTCTCTCTCTACTCTCTCTCTGGTCTCTCTCTGCTCCCTCTCTCTCTCTGCTCTCTCTCTCTGCTCTCTCTCTCTGGTCTCTCTCTGCTCTCTCTCTACTCTCTCTCTCTCTGCTCTCTCTCTCTGGTCTCTCTCTCTGCTCTCTCTCTCTCTCTCTCACTGCTCTCTCTCTGCTCTCTCTCTCTTGTCTCTCTCTCTCTGCTCCCTCTCTCTCTCTGCTCGCTCTCTCTCCCTCTCTCTCTCTGCTCTTTCTCTCTGATCTCTCTCTCTCTGCTCTCTCTCTCTAGTCTCTCTCTGCTCTCTCTCTGGTCTCTCTCTGCTCCCTCTCTCTAGTCTCTCTCTCTGGTCTCTCTCTGCTCTCTCTCTCTCTGGTCTCTCTCTGCTCTCTCTCTACTCTCTCTCTCTCTGCTCTCTCTCTCTGGTCTCTCTCTCTCTGGTCTCTCTCTCTCTCTCTCTCTCTCTCTCTCTCACTGCTCTCTCTCTCTTGTCTCTCTCTCTCTGCTCGCCCTCTCTCCCTCTCTCTCTCTGCTCTTTCTCTCTGATCTCTCTCTCTCTGCTCTCTCTCTCTGCTCCCTCTCTCTCTCTGCTCTCTCTCTCTCCCTCTCTCTCTCTGCTCTCTCTCACTGCTCTCTCTCTGCTCCCTCTCTCTCTGCTCTCTCTCACTGCTCTCTCTCTCTGCTCGCTCTCTCTCCCTCTCTCTCTGCTCGCTCTCTCTCCCTCTCTCTCTGCTCGCTCTCTCTAGTCTCTCTCTCTGCTCTCTCTCTCTGCTCCCTCTCTCTCTCTGCTCTCTCTCACTGCTCTCTCTCTCTGCTCGCTCTCTCTCTCCCTCTCTCTCTCTGCTCGCTCTCTCTAGTCTCTCTCTCTGCTCTCTCTCTCTAGTCTCTCTCTCTGCTCTCTCTCTCTGCTCTCTCTCACTGCTCTCTCTCTCCCTCTCTCTCTCTGCTCTCTCTCTCTCTGCTCTCTCTCTCTAGTCTCTCTCTCTGCTCCCTCTCTCTCTCTAGTCTCTCTCTCCCTCTCTCTCTCTGCTCTCTCTCTCCCTCTCTCTCTCTGCTCTCTCTCTGTAGTTTCTCTCTCTGTATTGACCAACCGTTGAATGAGTGAATCTCTGAAGTCTCTGATCTCTTAAACAAACGTCAGATTCTTTGATAAAACGGAGACATCACCTTTAATCTCCCGCTCGTGCTAAGTGTGTCGTCTGAACCTGGCGTCGTATCCAGGCCGGACCAAAACGCTCTCTTGTGTCTCCATGACGACGAGGGCTAATTCCACAACCAGATTTGAGGGATCTACATGGTTTTGTGTAGATTTAAACATGAGTCAGAACAGTCCGAGGTTCTGTCTGTGCGGAGGCTTCACAGAATGAGACGGGAAACAGTCAGAAGGTTATTGGTTCAAACAGAAGATAACTCAAATCACACAAGGCTTTAAAATCATCAATAATCATCAATAATTAACAATAATCATCAATAATTAACAATAATCATCAATAATTAACAATAATCAACAATAATTAACAATAATCATACATTTTTGCTCCTCTCTTTCACATCTCTCTCTGGTCACTCTCTTTTTTCTCTCTCTCCCCTTTCTCTCTCCTCTATCTCTCGCCTCTGCTCTCTTCTTCTCTGGTCTCTCTCTTTTGTCTCTCTCTCCCCTCTCTCTCTACTCTTTTTCTCTCCTCCGCTCTCTTCTTCTCTGTTCCCTCTATCCTCTCTCTGGTCTCTCTCTGGTCTCTCTCTCTCCTCTTTCTCTCTCCTTCGCTCTGTTCTTCTCTGGTCTATCTCTCCTCTCTCTGGTCTCTCCCACCCGTCTCTCTCTCTCCCCTCTCTCTCTCCTCTTTCTCTCGCCTCTGCTCCCTCCTCTCTCTGGTCTCTCCCACCCCTCTCTCTCTCCTCCTTCTCCCTCCTCTGCTCTCTTCTTCTCTGGTTTCTCCCATCCCTCTCTCTCTCCTCTTTTTCTCTCCTCCGCTCTCTTCTTCTCTGGTCCCTCTATCCTCTCTCTGGTCTCTCTCTCTCCTCTTTCTCTCTCCTTCGCTCTGTTCTTCTCTGGTCTCTCCCACCCGTCTCTCTCTCTCCCCTCTCTCTATCCTCTCTCTGGTCTCTCTCACCCCTCTTTCTCTCCTCCTTCTCTCTCCTCTGCTCTCTTCTTCTCTGGTCTCTCTCTGGTCTCTTTCTCTCCTCCTTCTCTCTCCTCTGCTTTCTTCTTCTCTGGTCTCTCTCTGGTCTCTTTCTCTCCTCCTTCTCTCTCCTCTGCTCTCTTCTTCTCTGGTCTCTCCCACCCCTCTCTCTCTCCTCCTTCTCTCTCCTCTGCTCTCTTCTTCTCTGGTTTCTCCCACCCCTCTCTCTCTCCTTCTTCTCTCTCCTCTGCTCTCTTCTTCTCTGGTCTCTCCCACCCCTCTCTCTCTCCTTCTTCTCTCTCCTCTGCTCTCTTCTTCTCTGGTTTCTCCCACCCCTCTCTCTCTCCTTCTTCTCTCTCCTCTGCTCTCTTCTTCTCTGGTCTCTCCCACCCCTCTCTCTCTCCTTCTTCTCTCTCCTCTGCTCTCTTCTTCTCTGGTCTCTCCCACCCCTCTCTCTCTCCTCCTTCTCTCTCCTCTGCTCTCTTCTTCTCTGGTCTCTCCCACCCCTCTCTCTCTCCTCCTTCTCTCTCCTCTGCTCTCTTCTTCTCTGGTCTCTCCCACCCCCTCTCTCTCTCCTCCTTCTCTCTCCTCTGCTCTCTTCTTCTCTGGTCTCTCCCACCCCTCTCTCTCTCTCCTCCGCTCTCTTCTTCTCTGACTGATCGTCTCCATTTGCTCAAACGGTGGGATCTCTCTGAACAGAACATTTTAACGGCCTCTCGCTGCGGTGTTTCGGTGCTTTCCTCAAGGTTAATGTTTTTTACAACTTTGCAAATGTGCTGTTTACAAGTTCACCCCGGCTAATCCTCCTCCCCCTCCTCCTCCCTCTGTCGTCCTGTCTCCCCCGTCTCCCCCTGCTCTCCCCCATATTCCCCTCTTTCTCTGCTCAAAAACAAACGTAAAATATTTTGCTTCATTTTACCTCCAAAAATACGGAGGTATTTTTGGAGGTAAAAAAAAAAAAAAAACTGTGAGCACGGATTCTTAAACTGTGAGCACGGATTGTTGAACCGTGCCCACAAATGCAAAACTTGAGGCTATATGCACGCATCACTTCCGGGTTCTGCGTCAGATGAGATGTCACTTCCGGCGCCGCGTCATACCCGGTCTACTGCTACCGATTACAGAGACTATTTTTGTTGTATCGTGTTTTTAGTGTGAGATGACGTCGAAAGTTTCAACGTTTACTTTTCAACGGAGACAGGACAGTACGTCTGGTTATCACTGCTGTGTTCCACGATGCTCAAATTCGGCCAGATTTAAGTTTTTTCACATTCCCTGGAGATTCTTTACTGCGAAAAAAGTGGATCGTGAAAATAAGAAGGGACCAGTTTAAGGTTACGTCAAACACACGGGTCTGTTCTCGCCACTTTGAGGCTGAAGATATGATCCAGCCCACCACCCCACAAGGACGTCGTATGTTGAGGAAAGGTGCTGTCCCGCTGCTTTTTGACTGGAACGGGTATAGGGCTGGAAAGTCTCGTCCCAGAAGCACTTCCGGTTCATGGCTCGGATACAAACAAACCGTCAGCTGTTCGAAGAGGCTGTTTAAATGAATGGTGCAAAAGGCTCTGCTTTGTTTTCGGCTGTTATCATCAAAGTTTACATGAAGCTCATTTTTTGGGTTTCCCAAAGACCAACTGAAGCTGTGTAAAAAGCTATGCAGTTGTGATAAAACATTTTGTCTGATTTTACAGATGGTTAACTTGAATATGTATTCAAGCTAACTTGTAGCTAATGCTAACCTGTAGTGCGCTGCCGAGCCTTTCATTGTGGCTTGTATTTTAAGATAAGATTAACTTTATTGTTGTCACACAGGATACATTTATTTATTTATTTGAGAGATAAAGGAGGAACATATTAGCACATATTAAATAACATTTAACAAATGTTCAAATATAAACAGAAAACGGACAATCATAATATTAGTAGTAAATGAAATAGGTAACCCAACTACATCATGTTATTTTTGGCAGCACAGCAAAAAGACCCAATGTGAAGCTGCAATGAGTGTGAAGTGGAGATGGAGCTGATGTACAGATAGAAAACTGATCATTCATAAACATTGGCTCATAACCAACGCAGCAAAGACAGCTGTAAGGGACATCAATGTATTTTCATGGGAATAGTGTTTCTATATTGTCTTTCTGATGCATAATAGTGGATTAAAAAACAATAAGTTTGAACACGGCCCTGCACCTTTCTCATCTCCCCGT